AGGGTCCACAGGTCCAGGAAAGCAGAGCCTGTGTCTGTCTCCCAGTGCTTACCAGCCACTGACCCATAGTGAATAGACTAAGGAGAAGACAAGAGAAAAGAGGGTTAGAAATGATGGAAGCTAAGGAGGCAAGAGAAGGGGAAGAATCAGAGATCTCAGGGCTGGAATCCAGGAGATGGTGGGGAGAAAAGAGGCAGGGTCCGGGAGGGGAGGATGGAGTTAGACAAGAGCTTTGGAGCAGGATCAGAGAACCTCTTAAAATGGCAGGTAGCAACTGGGACCCAGGGAAGTGGGCACATGTGTAGAATTAAGGTAATGGCTGGCCTCTGAGTCATCTCCTGATGCCAATCATGTGGGGCAGCACATTCCACCTCTCCAACTCTTGGGGCTTTCATCGGTCCATGGGACAGATGGGGGACCCAGTCCTCGTAGTCTCCAGACACCCTCAAATTTCAACTTTGAATGTTAATTCCAAATATGGGTGTCCTTCCTGTCGTAGAGATGCCACAACAGGATGGCGTAAGGAAGAGCCATCCTCACCCAGCTCTAACCGGTGTCCCAGCCCGGTGCTCTGAGTCTGTCAGTCACCGCAAATTAGCTCCAGCATCAATCCTATAATTACCCCGTGAAGAACACAATTATGCTTCATTGTACTTCTGTGTGAGTTCAAAGCATTCATTTACTCAATGTAAATATGAAAAATGTATAAACCACAACATGAGTTTTCTAACTTTGTTGTGGTGTTTTTCTTTCTTGAAATACCGGTGGGGGGCGGGGTATGGAAGGGACACGGAGCCCTCCAGCCCTGCAGTTCCTCCACCCGGTACCTATCAAAGTTATGGATGCTTTTGTGGGGTGTAAGCCTTGGGGAGAGTCCAGGAGAATGCCCCCACTCCCCTGTCCAGCCTTCTTTTGCATCCTCCATCACTATGACCTTCAGTCTGGGCTCTGGATGGATCAGGAAGACCAGACTGGACTGCTGATAGGTCCCTAAGCTGTGGCCCTTCTTTGTTAGCTTGGGCCTTCTGGGGGCCACTTTCAAGCTACCAAGCAAGATCAGGGACATGCAGGGAAGACTGGGCAGATTCAGGGGGTCAGGGTGAAGAGCTAGTCTACCAGGGCATAGGGGTCAAGGTGGGAAGCTAGCTCATTGGGATGTGAGATCAGAATGAGGAGCTAGCCTGTTGGAGTGTGGGCTCAGGACGGGGAACTGGCCCGCTGAGGTGTGGGATCAAAGTAGGGAGCTACCTTACTGTGGTGTGACCAGGGGGCGGAGCTAGTTCACTAAGTTGTGAGGTCAGAATGGGGAACTCTTTCACTGTGGTGTGGGGTCAGAGTGGAGAGCTAGCTCACTGTGGTGTGGGATCAGTGTGGAGAGCTAGCTCATAGTGTTGCAGGGTCAGGGTGGAGAGCTAGCTCACTATGGTGTGGGGTCAGTGTGGAGAGCTAGCTCACTGTGGTGTGGGGTCAGTGTGCAGAGCTAGCTCACAGTGTTGTAGGGTCAGTGTGGAGAGCTAGCTCACAGTGTTGCGGGTTCAGGGTGGAGAGCTAGCTCACAGTGTTGCAGGGTCAGGGTGGGGAGCTAGCTCACGGTGTTGCAGGGTCAGGGTGCAAAATTAGCTTGCTGAGGTTGGCAGTCCAGGGTGGGGAGCTAGCCCACTGGAATGTAGGAGTGAGATTTGTAACATGTGCTGAGTCAGGGGCTTCCTAAGGGTTCCTAGAACTGAAATACCACCCCGAGGTACACAATCACCCCAAACACAAATAGTTCTCCAAATAACCAGTTCATGCAGCACCTCAGGGAATTAATTACTTCCCGTGATGTCACCCTGCTCCTCTGTCTCCACTGACTCTCCCGGAGGGCTCAGACTCTAAGCAGCTTGGACGACTGGCACCTCCCCTTGTCAGGGGGTTCCCCTCTCCTATCAGCAAGGCTGACTAGAAACCCCTTACTTGGTTCCATCTGGGACCAGGCACCCAGCAACAGGGGCAAGGGAACCCCAAGTTTATCATCAAGTATGGCCCCTTCCTCTTGAAGTGAGTTCAACCTCCTCTTAAAATCCCTCCCAGGCTGATAATTCCACGACTCCTTCCTTCCACCTCATTGGCAGGAAGTTCTTCCATAGGTCTAATCTTAAACCATATTGCTGCTTGTTGTTGTTGTTGTTAAGTGCCATCGAGTCGGTTCCGACCCATAGCGACCCTGTATAGGGTTTCCGAGGTTGTAAATCTTTACGGGAGTAGAAAGCCTCATCTTTCTCCCGCGGAGCAGCTGGTAGTTTCGAACCGCTGACCTTAAGGTTCGCAGCCCAATTCGTAACCACTACGCTACCAGAGCTCCTTATATTGCTGCAGATCCATCTTTTTAGTTTTAGAGACCTCCAGTGGATATGTAAAGAGCTCTGGTAGCGTAGTAGTTATGCGTGGGGATGCTAACCTCACAAGGTCAGCGGTTTGAAACTACCAGCTGTTCCACGGGAGAAAGATGAGGCTTTCTGCTCCCATAAAGATTTACAGCCTTGAAAATCCTGTACAGGGTTGCTATGAGTCGGAACTGACTCCACAGCACACCTCCACTACCACCACCACCACAACAGATATGCCTCTGGTCATCATCAACACCCTGGGAGGGGTGCAGTTCCTAAAGGGTTTGGGAATAGAAGTCTCTTATAGTGCTTAACTCAGGACCCCAAAACAGCCTCTCCCAGAGATTCCCTCAGGGAAGAGGCATCTCTTTGCTGCTGCTACTGTTAAAGAAAAGTTGCTAGAGAAAGTACCAATTGTTTAGTTAACTTGGAATTTCAGATAAACAATTATTTTTAGCATAAATATATCCCATGCAGCCTTTGAGACAGATGTACGTTAAAAAATATATATATTATATATTTATTTGAAATTCAAACTTAACTAAACACCTTGTGTTTGTATTTGCTAAATCTGACAGTCAAGAAAACAGCAGCAAATAACAGCCAGGCACTTCCTCCTGCCCCTCAGTGGGTCCGGGACCCTGAATATGATGATGCTAAAGGGCTTGGCAATTCCAAAGATAGCGTGCCCTCTCATCTGTTCCTCCCATCCTATGAGGTGCAGTAGGAAGAATAGATACGGGAGAATAGAGCCTTAAGAGTTATGGGACACCCACCAGACAAGATCTTAGACATGCACAGACTCTTTATGCTCCCTCAAGCTCATTAAAATGCATGCTATTGTTCCCTCATTTATCAGATAAGGAAACTGAAGCTCAGAGAAACGCAGCAACTTGTCCAAGGACACACAGCCACAAATGGAGCCAGGTTTAGAACTGAATCTGTCCACCTCTAGAATCTATGCTCTTTACCTCCAAGCTGAACTCAAGGGACTCAGTTCATGGTTGGGTTCAGATGAAGAAGCGAGGTCCAGAGGGAGCTAGAAACTTGGGCTCAGATGAAGAAGCCCAGGGTAAGCCGATGTCTTGCCCCTCGTCAGTAAAATAAGCGGCAGAGATGGGACTTGAACACAGATGTCAGCGGCGCCATGGAAGGCCTGACCGAGGTCCTGAAATTACCTTCTGAAAACAGCCAACCCCTCAGATGAGATACAACTCTGCCAAATCCTGCAGTTTAAAGGCTGCTAGATGACATGCAAGATGATTTGTTTATCGGACATTTCAGTAAACAATACTTGTTTCCCAACCACCACCCCCCACCCCCAAGCATAAATCTGTCCCATGCAATGTCTGGGACATGACTTATGCTAAAATTGTTTGGTGTTGTGTGTCTGAAATCCAAATGTAACTGGGCATCCTCTATTTGCTGAATCAGGTTGTTCTGTGTTAAAAGGGCCGGAGAAAGTAGGATCTCCTTTGATCCTAGAGAATCAGCCCACACAGAAGTGTTCCCACCAGACTTAGAGTCAAGGCCTGGTCTCCAAATCTCCAGGTTTGTCTGTTGTGCTGTCACTGGGGTCTCAGGTTGCTTCCTGAGAGGAGCAGGAAAGATGTCGAGGGCAGAGGAACCCTACAAAGAGGCTAGGTAGGGAGCAGGACCAAGCAGACATTAACCAACTGGGAGAGCACAGTTCTAAAGCCTATGGGGATGAGCCTCAGTTTCCTCATCTAACAAATGGGAAAACAATAGCACAGATCTTACTGTGCTTGGAGGAACATACTTGAGACCATGTTTGTGGGTGCTCTAGTGGCTCATTACAGAACTCCCAGCTCCTACTGGAGTAGGGGGCTTAGCTGGTTTCCCATCCACAGGAGCCCAGCCCCACTTGACCCAGGAGGGTTGGAGGTCAGAGCTAGAAAGGCCCCTAATAATAACCACATTGAACTCTCCCAATGGCCAGGTGGGGACAGCAAGGCTGAGCCAAGACAGTGGATCTGGGCCACAGAAGCTGATGCTCCTGCTGCCCCTTCAGGTGTCACTATTGTCGTCACCACTGTCATCATCAATGTCATCACTGCAAACACCAGTCCCGGAGCCTCATTCCAAGTTCTTTTCCTATCTGATCCCATTGATGCAGTCCCCTAACCACTCCTTCCGAATCCTAATCACCTTACTGCCCCTGGCTATCCTCCAAAGATCCTGCTCCCACCCAAGTCTCGTAGAGATGGGTTGAGGCAAGACATTGAGGGAGAGGAGGGGAGGCCCAGTCCTGCTTGGATGTTCCAGATAAGTAACAAGTTCCAAAGACTAGACCCAACGCCTCATCCCAAGGACCAAGGCTGGAGCCTAGGGCTCACAGCTGGAAACCTAAGACTAGAGCCCAAGATCCAGTGTCCCAGGTTAAAATCCTAACCCCGGTGCCCAGGAACTGGAGCCTGGAGGTAAACCTAGCACCCCAGCCCCTCCCTCCAAGGTTCCGCAGCCAACTCCACCTTTTCTGTTGACAAAACAACCAGCCTCCTGCCAGCCTTCTCCAGCATGCTTGATTCATCCACCAGCACCCACCCCACTGCCTCTGAGACCTCCATTCTAACTCAGCCTTCTGTAGCCAGGTGGGCACCACCCGGCTCTCACCTGTGAATGTCTATGAGCATTTCAACCCCCACCACACACACGGCGTAGGTGGGCTGCTTCAGGGACAGGCGCACAGTTCTCTTCGAGGCCATCCTGCCTTCCAGCACCTGACCTCCAAGATCAGCTCCAGCCTTGGCCCACCGGCCCCCGGCTCCTTTCCTGGGCGCCTCTTCGCCAGAAAGGTAAGTGAGTTCTGATGGGTTAAAGCTTTCCTCCTCCCTTTTAATTTCACTCTGTGACCTGGTATCCCCACCTCCTGGCTCCACGCCCCACCCTCATCAAGGCTGTCAATCTGGATCCTGGGGAGGCGGCATCTATCCAGCTGCACAAGGCCTCTCTGGAGGATGGGGAAAAGGAGATGCTTCCTTGAGGGTCCCCCAGTGAAGCAGAAACTCCCCTGCAGCCCCCTTCCCCCTGGGTCTCTTCTTTCCTCCAGCTTTGTCTCTGTTCTCACTCTTCTTCCTCTCTGCCCTTTCCTCTCCCCACAACATTGAGCAGGGAGTGGGTCTGAGTCCATACATAATGACAATCATCAGTCTTTTCTAGGGGCTGACTATGTGACCAGTGCCAGTTAAGCAGTTTGCAGATTTTATCTCATATGCTAACATATTAAGAAGCATATAAATCACAGTGGAGTCAGACTGCCTGGGCTCAAATCCTGGCTCTGTGACCTTACACAAGTTACTTAACTTCTCTGTGACTCGTTTTCCTCCTATGTAAAGGGGTGGTTGCAACAACAGCACCTGTTCCATTGGGTGGATGTGAGGATTACCTGAGATAAGCATGGTACCTGGCACCTCGTAGTCATTATGAAAAATGCCAGCAACTCTTCCTGCTGTTACCAGCTGTCTTGGACTAGCCCATGAACAAACTTCACAACCCATTGTTCCTACCTAGAGGGCTCATCTTCCAGCACTATATTAGACAATATTCTGTTGTGATGTTGTTAAGTGCTGTTGAGTCAGTTCCAACTCATAGAGACCCTGTGGTACATAGAGTTTATGTTGGGTGGTTTTCAGAAGTACATCACCAGGCCTTTTTTCCTACTCTTAGTCTGGAAGCTCCACTGAAACCTAGCCACCGTGAGTTGTTAAGTGCAGTCGAGGTGGTTCTGACCCAGAGCCACCTGTATAGGGTTTTCAAAGGAGCAGCTGGTGGGTTTGAACCACTGACTTTGTGGTTCAAACTGAATTTACAGACCAGCACATTATCCTGCCGTGCCACACCAGTACTCTATCCACCATGAGTGGCTTTGCTCATGAAACACCAGTGGCAAAGCTTCCAGCATTATGGCCACGTGCCAACCACTAACGTGTGATAAACTGACAGACAGCCAGTGGAGTAACTATTGCTAGTATCTTTATTTTCCAGGGAAGAGAATCATGACTCCAGATTACACTGCTGGTAGGTAAGTGGTAGAGCCAGAATGTGAACCCAGGTCCATCTGACCCACTACATTATACCATGCCCCAAAACGTGCCCTAACTCCGGAAATGATAGAAGCCACTCCAGGTGAACATTCTTGGGCAGCCAGAAAGAAGGGAATTTTAAAAAGGATCTCAGAGCACTGAGCTGGGGAAGGTGAATCTTTCTCTAAAATTCTCCTCCTTTCAACAAAAGAACTCAAGCTTTGGTTCCAGCCTGTTCTGAAGGTGTGTGTGAATTTTCATTCATTCACTTGGGGAAAATGTTGGTTGAGCAACTATTAATCATTAGTCACTCCTTTTAGCTGTGACTTAAATGGACTGCATCCCTGCTCTGATGGCATTTGTATTCAGGGGGGAAACAAACAGACAGAGGTAAATAAGTAAAATGTGCATAGTGTTAGGTGTTAGGCTCTTAACATCATCTGGGAGAGAGACAAGGGCGGCTTAGTCTTAGGGCTATCAGGGAAGGTGGTGAGAAGCAGACAGATGTCCCTTGAAGGTCATTGTAACTGACAAGGTCTGTTGATGAATTAGATGTGGGTGTGAGAGGAGCCAAGGACAACTGGAGTGTTTGGAGCTGGAGCAATCGGATGGCTAGAGGTGTCATCAAGTTAGCTGGGGAATACTGGAGGTGGACCTGCCGGACCTGCTAACTGTGAAATAGCTACTAGACATTTGAGCAGAAATGATGAGTTAGAGGGGCTACCCTTAAGGGTCACAGAGAATGCATGCTTCATCAGTTGTAGGGTCCTTTTATTCCAGGAGGGTACTGCAGAGAGCAGAATAAATAAGGATGCACAAACCAGAATTTCCCTGTCCATAAGTTTGGGGTAGGAGGACTGCAAAGAGAGAGATGGAGAAAAAACACCCGTTCCTGGAGACTGCAGTCTGGGGTAGGGTCACAGCTCCTGCCTCCATGAGCCCCCAGCTTGATTAGGGAGGCAGGATACAAAAAAAAAAAAAAAAAAAGGTAGTTAAGTTATTTGGTTAGATTTATCTGGAAGATCTTTCTGTAATGAAGTCCCTTCTTTACTGATAACACAGCTGATTGAAAATGTTCTTGATCTGTAAAGTTCATTGTATCTAAAGATAACAAAGCCAAATCTAGGCTTACCCCATGATTCTGCACCCAGAAAAGTGCCCATCTCCCCCATTAATCATTTTGTGAGGGGGAGAGACATTTATTGTGGAGCAGAAAAAATAGGCTCCTGAAGACAGCATGGGTATGTTCCTGCTGGAAATTGGATGGATGGAAGCATGGGTGGATGAATGGATGGATGGGTGGCTGGCTGGCTGGGTGGCTGGCTGGCTGGCTAAGTGTATGAGTGAACTGACAGGAAAGAGAGAGGAAGGGGGTTGGTGCATAAAGAGCTATTGCAAAGAAGAAGATGAAGATGGTGATGATGCTAGCTAGCCCTCCCTACGTGCCAGGCACTATTACTATTGTAAGCCCCTTGCATATACTGACCTATCCAATCTTCACAACAACCCCAATGGCATACTGCTATCACCCCGACCCCGTTTTGCAGACACTCCTGAGGTCCGGAGCTGGGAAGTGGCTAAGCCAGGCTTTGAGCTCAGTCTGTCAGGCCCTAGATGGGTTCGTAATTTCTACTAGATCCTTGGGAGGGATAGTATTGGGTCCTCTGTACTTTCTTCCTCATGCTTTGTATATTGTTTGAAAAACGTCTGTGAGCAAATAATATTTTTCCTGCTGAAAATATATTAAGCCACATTTTTTGTTCTCTCTTTGAGGAAAAATGAGAGAAGTTCCCTCCTCTTGGCCTCTCCATCCACCCCTGCTGTTCCCTCCCTTCCTCTGCTGTCTCAAATTCTAAGAGCATTTCCTTTAAGACACCATAACCTGCGTAGGCCCCTGCCCTGCCCTCAACCCACATCATAGCCCGCACACCCATGCTGTGGTCTGTTTGAACTTCGGATTCCAGGCATAATCGGTCAGATTTGGGGTAAGAATGCTGGGAAGAGTAGGGGTGGGGTGCTTCGTGACATCATGGACTCCATCCCAGATCCCATCCCCATCCCCACCTCCATTAGCAGGAAGAAAATTATACCACTGCGGGGAAGGGCGAGCTGGCAGGAGTTAGCCTGCAACACAGTCCCACCAGCTGCAAGGACAACTCGGGGATGTCTCTGGAACAATCCAGGGAAGCTATACCAGGGATGGTGTCTGGTGCTCACTCTCCTCACACCACATGGTTTTTTGAGCACTTGCCATGTGTGAAGAACATTAAATATACCATGAACTACCAGAAGAATGAGCAAATCTGTTTGGAAGTAGAGCAGGATTGCTCCTTAGAAGCAACAAAGGCAAAATTTTGTTTCTTATACTTCTGACTTACTATCAGGAGGGGCCAGCCCCTAGAGAAGAACATCATGCTTGGTAAAGTGAAAGGTCAATGGAAAAATAGGAAGATTCCCAACAAGGTTGACTGGCACAGTGGCTGCAACCTGGGGCTAAAACAGAACAACTGTGAGAATAGCATCATCAGTCTTTCATTCTATTATACCCAGGGTCACTATGAGTCGGAATCCACCTGACCGTGCCTAACAACCACCACATGCCAGACATTGTACCAGAGGCTCAACAGTGAACAAAGTCCCTGCCCTCGTGGGGAGACAGGTGATAAACTAGACAGTAGAGAGATGATGCTGTCCAGAAGCAAGGCAGACAAATCAGGGAGAGGGAGATGGGCACTGCTTTGGGTAAGGTGATCAGAGGCCTATTTGAAAAATAATATTGGAGCAGAAATCTGAAAATGAGGCATTGGTAATCTCAGGGGAATTTTCCAACTTTAGGTAATCTAGGTTTGTCCCTCATCTCCCTATTCACAAAATGGAGCTATTATGCTAGATCCTGGTGTGGCACTGTAGGATAAACACTGGGCTGCAACAAAGTCAGTTTGAACTGAAAGGTCAGTAGTTCAAACCTACCAGCCGTTCCTCAGAAATCCTTAAAAGGGCTGATATGAGTTGGAATCAACTCTACAGCACTTAACGACAACATGCTAGATCAGCGGTTCAAACTCAAATGCCTTCAGGGGTCAGGCAGATAACACAAACACGAGGAAAGCTGCCAGGTGCAAGACACTAGGGAGAGGTGACGATTGTGGAAAAGATAATAGCGCTTGCAATTGCAAACACAGTATATCTTAACATTTCTAGAAAACAGAATGTTGTGGGGGTCAAGCAAAACCATCTGTAAGCCAGACCTGGCCTTTGAGCCATTGGTGTGAAACGTCAGCATTGACTGTTTATGAACTGGCATAGATCTCTGAGTGGCACAAACGTAAGCACTGGGCTGCTAACTTCAAAGTTGGCAGTTCAAACTACTCCTTGGAAACCCTATACAGTGGAGGTGGGGACGTCTGGCCCTCAGATTGTATGTTGTTGTTAAGTTCCATTGAGTTGGTTCCAACTTACAGCGACCCTGTATAGGGTTTCCGGAGAGCAGCTGGTGAGCTTAAACTTCTGACCTTGCAGTTCAAATCCAGCACATTACCCCGCAGCACCAAGTCAGAACTCCTCAGGCTGTATAAGGCCCTAGAAATCATTTGGTCTGGCCCTGCCAAGGCAACCTCAGTTCCAGTTGTCACATTGTTGTTGCTGTTGCTAAATGCCATAGAATCAGTTCCAACCCATAGTGA